ACACACACACACACACACACACACACACACACACACACACACACACACGTTTGTTCCTTTGCACTGACTTTCATTCATTTACCAGTATTTTCTATTACCATTTGACCCTAAACCTAGCCTTAAACTTTACATGGGATGTGAACTGGGCTTATGTCCCCATAAGAAACAGTGGGTCCTCACCAGGCTGTGTAGTTTGCTTCATCTCTAAAGAGATGATCTTTAATATTGTTTATTTACTGTCTTAGTTGTGTGTGGTGTTTAATTTACATTTTGTTGTTCTTTGTTTTTTTTCTTTTATTCAAGTGCATTTTTGTTAGAGACTGAGAGTCCACTTTCTTTAAACATTAAACATTCTTTAAAAATTAAAGTTTATTGATTAATTACACTTACATATTACGCTTTTATAATTATTAGTTGTAAAATGGTCACCAGGCAATATTATTGCTTATCGCAATAATTTGTGAGACAATTAATCGCCCAGCAAAATTTGTTATCGTGACAGGCCTACGTTTACAGTTGTGAAGCTGATGATGCAGTGATTGCTTTATGCTCTGTTACCTCCTGTGTCCATTGAACTGTAAAGCATCAGAAACAGCAGTCACACACATCTTCGTATTAAGTTTCACACTTACAACAAACATGCAATTCATACACAGTCCGTCTTCCACATAGTCCATCATATCAGTACCGCCCTAAACAAGATTGATGTGTGGTCATTACCCCATCATTCTGGGTCAGTGAATTAAAACCATTCTACGTTTTCTTCCTTCTGCTTTTGTTTTCTGTGCACTATCATTCCTGTCCTCCCTCGTCCACATATTTTTGACTTCCTATTCATATCTTAAATTTTCCAGCTCGGTTTTTTCTTCTTTAATCATGTTTCTCTTAAAATGTTTTTAAAATTTGTTTTCTTCTGCACACATCTTTTTTTAACTCCATTATAGAAAGGTCTGCGGACCCTTGTGGTGGCATGTCGCCACTTCACTTCAGAGGAGTACGACGATGTAGACAAGCATCTAACTGCTGCTCGCACAGCTCTGCAGCAGAGAGAGGAGAAACTACAGGAAGCTTTCAGCTACATCGAGCGAGATCTGCAACTCCTGGGAGCAACCGGAGTGGAGGACAAGTACGCACAATAATCTTGCTATTTTTTTTTTTTTTAGACTGGACTGGAATTTAGTTTTTTCCACTGTACTGGTGCAGACCCAAATATCTCAGCAATTAATCCTAACATTCTTAACCTACATGGGATTAGCCTCACAACAGGGACACACGTCTAACTTTTGCCCCTGTTAAACCATCTGGAGGACTTGATAAATCCTAATTACTTTGTTCTGGAGTTTGGGCTTTCCTAATTATAAGTCAAACATTGTTTTATCTCCTGTCTGACCTCTGACCAAACCTCAAAAACTCATTTAATTCCCAGTAGTCTCAGTGGCAGTTTTGGTTCACCTCTAATTAGCAGAAAATGGAACGCTAAACTTTATGGACAATTGTTATTGTGGTGCTGTTTGAAAGTAAAGCTTCCATAAATTTTACATTGTTTATTGTTTGAAAGTGTTCTACCATTACCAAATAGTGTTTATTTCTGTTATAGAATAGATACTTGTTGGAGCTAACCACTGATGTGAGGATTATGAATATTGTGATAAATGATTATTAAATTTGGTCATTAAACTGACTTGATTAATTTAAAATGGTATAAAACACATCACCGAGTAGATAGACTTATTGGTTTAAAAAATAATGTGCAATTTCTTGTCCTCAGGAAGCTGCAGATATGACTTCTCTGAGCCTTTCTAGAAATGAATGACACGAGTGTTAGCATCTGTGCACCATCTGTTCCTCTCATAAGCCTGAGATTCATTCTCGCACATTGTTTATCTCTGCACTCTCTTTTTTTCCCCGCCTTTTACTGCTCTATTTATGTGTCTGAAATGAGTTTCTCCCAGGGCACACGTGGTCACAATTGGAGGGTCTTCTCTGTTATGAAAGGCATGACTAATATTACCCTCTGTTTTCGGTTTTAATATAACATGCTGAGAAGAATAGCATTTTAAATTATATGTGGTGTTTCTCCAGGAAGATTAACTATGGTCATAAGAAGGGTATATTTTTTATTTGTCTAAAGAAAAAAACAGTTTTAGTGTGATAGAACTCATGAGCTACAGACTTACTCTGTATATATTTTCTTCTTTGTGTCTCATAGACTTCAAGACAAAGTTCAGGAGACCATCGAAGCGTTGCGTCTGGCAGGAATCAAAGTGTGGGTGCTGACGGGAGACAAACACGAGACAGCGGTTAGCGTCAGCTTGTCCTGTGGCCACTTCCACAGAACCATGAACATCTTGGAGCTTCTGCAACAACACTCCGATAATGAGTGTGCCGAGCAACTCCGTAGGCTGGACAGAAGGTGTGTGAAATTATTTATTTTAAGATTCAAACTATCTGAAGGCGTTTGAGTTCACAAACTCCAACTCTAAACGATCTATGGACTTATTAAATAATTGATTAATTAATTTAACTTTTTTTTTGGTAAATTACAAACAATGTGGTTCTAGGATAAAAGACGACCACGTCATTCAGCATGGGTTGGTTGTAGACGGAGCCAGTTTGTCTCTAGCACTGAGGGAACATGAGAAGCTCTTCATGGAAGTGTGTAAAAATTGCTCAGCTGTGTTGTGCTGCCGCATGGCCCCGCTGCAAAAGGCCAAGGTAATGTACAATTACTAAAGACTTTCTACTTTTGTTTAAAGCTGCAGTAGGTAACTTTTATAAAATTGTATTTTTTTACTTATTTGTTAAACTGCCACTATGTCCTGACAGTAGAATATGAGACCAATCGTCTGTGGAAAAAAAATAAAGCTCCTCTCAGTTGTCCTACTGCCATTTGCAGAAATACTCCACAGCCAATCAGAGCCAAGAGCTGTAGCTGTTTATCTGCTGTCATTGGTGGCCCTGCTGCTAAGCCTGCACACATACGGCAGGCTCAAATGTGGGGGAGGAGCTATGTAGGGTTACTGCACAACAGTAGAGAGCGG